AGCTCATGGAGGATCCTGATGTATTGAGTTTGAATGCCCTGATTGGCGTGGTCGTCAATGACCTCTTCTATCTTGACGGAATCAAAGGCCTTCTTTAAATCAATGAACGTTAGACAGAGCGACATCTTGAACTCCTGAGAAACCTCAATGAGCTTGGTTATCATGTGGATATGGTCAATCATGCTGAATCCTTTGTGGAACCCAGATGCTCGCATGGTTGTCCTTCATCTGGTGTCTGCCATTCCTATTCAGGATTTCTCAAGTGAACAGCTTGTAGATGACAGACAACAGGTAGATCGGGCAATAGTTGCCAATGTCGTTGATGTCTCCCTTCTTGTACAGTAGTACAGTCCTTCTTGTTTTCCACTGGAATGGAACCTTGCATTCAGACAGGTAGCTTGTGAAGAGCCGAGCCAGCGTATTGATGAGTAATGATGGCAGGTTCTTCAGCTGTTTATGTATGACCTTGTCTGGGCCGGGTGCTGTTCGTTTCTTTACCGACCAAATGGTGTGTCAAATTTCGGAAGGGAGAACATTGGAAATGACATATCCATCCTGCGGAATTTGGTTTGTGAGTAGGTGGATGTGGCTATCGAAGAGATCTGAGTAGAAGTCATGGATAATCTTCTCCATTGCCCTTCTGGAAGATGTGATAGATCCATCAGAACATCGGAGGGCAGTCATCTTGGTCTTGTAGTTGGCAAAGGTCAAGCGGGCATTGGGAATGCTTTTCCCAGCTTCTGCCACATCTACCAGCACTTCTGCTGTTCTCTCTTTGAGGTCTTCCTTTATTGCATCTCTGCACTGCTCTGAGAGCTTGGATGATCGGTTGTGGTTGCCTGAGGCATGAGTCGAACCACGTTGGTGAATAAGCGCAAGAATTTTCAAAGACAGGTATTTTTTTGTGGCTATCTCTCTCTTTGCATTCCTCGCACAATCGTGGAGGTGCTGAACCAGTCAATTGTATTTCAATTGAACAATGGCATCTTCCCATGTTGCAGCAATAGTGCCAAAGAGCTCCCAGTTGGTGGTCGTTCTGGGAGTTCTCTTCTTAAACTTTGCAGCCCTTTCTCCCCGCTCTATGAAGTAGTATTTTGCATGAAGGATACAGTGATCTGATCCATTTGGAATTTTGGGACAACAGCGACATCGGTCAGGCAAAAGTGTTCATTGAATATGATGTGGTCAATTTCATTGTGCAACCATCCACTGGGAGACTCCCATGTCCAACATTTAGATTCGGCCTTCTGGAACTGCGAGTTACCATGGATGGTCTTGGTCGACATGATGAACTCAGTTTCTCACCCTGTTCGTTCCTTTCTAGGCCATGAGTCCCAATGTGGAGTTCTTCGGCTGATCTCGGTCCTATCTTGGCATTAAAATCACTGACAATGATCTTGTAGAAGGTATGATTCTCTTTATAGAACTTCTCCAGCTCCATGTAAAACTTCTCAATTTCTCCTTCATCATATTTGGATGTTGTTGCACAGACAACGAAGACAGAACCTGCCGGCAGTGAGCCACATCTATTCAAGTATAATCGTCCAATTCGGGGTGTTAGGCATTCGAATGAATCAATGCTTAGTCCATCATATCAACAAAAGAAAAGATAACAATTATATTGTCACATCCATAGATGCAGAGAAAGCATTTGACAAGATCCAGCACCCCTTTATGATGAAAACACTCACCAAAACGGCTATAGAGGGAACTTTCCTTAATATAGTTAAAGCCATCTACGAAAAGCCTACAGCAAGCATCATCCTCAATGGGGAAAAACTTAGAGCCTTCCCTCTAAGATCAGGGATAAGACAAAGATGCCCACCCTCTCCACTGCTGTTCAATATAGTACTGGAAGTACTTGCAATAGTGGTTTAACAAGAGAAAGATATTAAGGGCGTTCAGGTAGAAAAGGAAGAAATCAAGCTCTCACTATTCACAGATGATATGATATTATACTTAGACAGCCCTAAAACCTCTACCAAGATACTCCTAGAAAAAATAGACTTGTATAGTAAAGTTGCAGAATATAAGATCATTACCCAGAAGTCCACAGCTTTCCTATAAGTAAATAATGAGAGAGAAGAAAGTGACATAAAGAAAACAATTCCGTTGACAATTGTGCCCCAGAAAATCAAGTACCTAGGAATAAGCTTAACTAAGGATGTAAAAGACCTGTACAAAGAAAACTACAAAACCCTACTTCAGAAAATAAAAGAGGACACGAGAAAATGGAAAGATATCCCCTGCTCATGGATCGGGAGAATTAATATTGTAAAAATGGCTATTCTCCCCCAAAGGATTGTACAAATTCAATGTGATCCCTATAACGATACCCATGACATTCTTCAAAGAAATGGAGCAAACACTCCTGAAATTCAAATGGAATAATAAGCACCCAGAAATAGCTAAAGCAATTCTTGGAAAAAAGAAAATGGGAGGAATCAACTTCTCTAACTTGAAACTCTACTACAATGCAGTAATAATTAACACAGCATGGTACTGGAACAAAAGCATAGCTGCAGACCAATAGAACAGGGTTGAATATACTGACATCTTCCCCCAAACATATGATCACCTAATCCTTGAAAAAGGAGCAAAAAATGTGAAGTTGAGGGCCAGAGCTATAGCACAGTGGGTAGTGCGTTTGCCTTGCATGCAGCCAATGTGGGTTTGATCCCCGGCATTCCATATGGTCCCCCAAGCACCGCCAGGAGTAATTCTTGAGTGCAGAACCAGGAATAACCCTTGAACATCGCTGGATGTGACCCAAAAAGCAAAAAGAAAAATTTTTTAAAGAAATGTGAAATGGAGCAAGGAAAGCCTATTTAACAAATTGTGCTGGTAAAACTAGACAGATAAATGCAAACAAATGGGCTCAGATCTCTACCTAACACCATGTGCAAAAGTAAGATCAAAATGAATTAAAGATCTCAACATCAGACCGGAATCCATAAGGTACATTGAAGACAAAGTTAGCAAAACACTCCACAACATTGAAGCGAACAGTATCTTCAAAGATGTCATGCCACTGGCCAAGCAAGTGAAAACAGAGATAGACAAATGGGACTATCATAAACTAAGAAGGTTCTGCACCTCAAAAGAAACAGTGACCAAAATACAAAGACAGTCTACAGAATGGGAAAGGATATTCGCCCAATACACATCCGACATGCGGTTGATATCAAAGATATACAAAGTACTGGTTGAACGCGCCACAAAAAGAAAACATCCAACCCCATCAAAAAATGCTGCGACAAAATGAACAGAAACTTTCTCAAAGAAGAAATTCAAATGGCTAAAAGGCACATGAGAAAATACTCTACATCATTAATCATCAGGGAGATGCAGATCTAACAACAATGAGATATCATCTCACACCACAGAGACCGGCCCACATCTAAAAGAACAAAAAGCAACCGGTGTTTGCACAGATGTGGCGAGAAAGGGATCCTCCTCCACTGCTGGTGGGAATACCGACTGGTCCAGCCCTTTTGTAAAAGTGTATGGACGATTCTCAAAAAATTAGCAATTGAGCCCCCATTTTACCCAGCAATACCACTCCTGGGAATATATCCCAGAGAAGCAAAAAGTGTAGTCGAAGTGACATCTGCACTTGTTTTTTCATTGCAGCATTGTTTGCAATAATCAGAATCTGGAAAAAACCTGAGTGCCCGAGAACAGATGACTGGTTAAAGAAACTTTGGTATATCTACACAATGGAGTACTATGTAGCTGTTAGAAAAGATAAAGTTATGAAATTTACATACAAGTAGTACTACATGGAAAGTATCATGCTAAGTGAAATGAGTCAGAAAGAGAGGGACAGACATAGAAAGACTTCATTCATTTGGGGAACATAATGTAACAAAATAGGAGACTAACACCCAAGAATAGCTGAGATAAGTACCAGAAGGTTTTGTCCATGGCTTGGAGGCCAGCCGCACACGCTAGGGGAAAAAGCAGCTCAGATAGAGAAGGGAGCACCAAATAAAGGGTGTTGGGATGATTATCCCAGGATGGGAGATGCATCTGAAATTAGACTGTATACAGAACATGATTGCCACTCAATGCAAACCACAGCACCCAAAAGGAGAGAGAGAGAACAAAAGGGAATGCCCTGCCACAGAGGCAGGGTTGGATTAGGTGGATGGGGGTGGGAGGGATAATGGGATTAGTGGTGGTGGAGAATGGGCACTGGTGGAGGGATGGGTACTCGATCATTGTATAACTGAAACCCAAGCACAAAAATTTGTAAGTCTATGACTGTACCTCATAGTGTTTCATTAATAAAAATTAAAAAGAAAATCATAATAAAATTTTCTAGTACAGTTTATTCAGTCCTAAAGCATTAGTGGCCACTTGGCTGGACGTTACTCTATCATTTGATGCCATATGCTTCATTTAACTCTTTACTGAGAGAATCTTGGAAGCCCTGGGCCCCTTATCTGTTTCAGGCTAAGTATTGATAAATGTGATTAAGTACTGGCTTCTGGAAATAGATTCATAAGCACTTGTTGTTGGGGACCACACACATCGGTGGTCTGGGTTTACTCTGGACTCTGTATACAGAGTTCACTCCTGGTGAGCATTGGTGACCACATGGGAATTGAATTCAAGTTGTCTGTTTCTAAGGCAAACACCTTCCCTGCTGTACTATCGTTCAGTCCCATAAGCATCTATTCTTGAAGAAACAGTTGTTCAGATTATCTAGTTCAGTTTATTTTTCTTATGAGGCTTTGAAATTACATTTCTTTATGGAAACTACAAAGTCCAACTGGAACTTAGTATCAAGATTGGGGTCATTTCAGAGGGTCCTTCAAGACTGCCACTGGAACCCTCCAAGAACAGGGACAGCTTTGCAGCAGGAGACACTTTAATTTGGCAAAACTGAAACCCCGGTCAAATCATGGGCGATATTTCTGTCTCTTTAAAAGCCAGGAGTAAGTCTCAGCTCCACCCAATCTGTACTTCCTGCTTTCAGAGGCTACAGACTTCTCCCTTACTGTGGAGACCGACATAACAGATCAAGCAGCAAATTCAACATCCACAAAGAAGGTGAGTCTGAGAAAATGCCCCAGGCGCGGTGGGTGTGGAGGAAGGAGGGACCGGGGCCCTGCCTACTTTCATTCAGCTAGAAGGTGGCAGGGAGGCAGGGACTGACCACTGTATGTCCATGGACTCAGGTTGAAGGGACAGACGTTAGCTGAGGACCCCCAACTCTATCCAGCTGGTGCTGGGATTGACACTACAGCTTGATAAATGACCCTTTTCTGCCAATAGAGAAAAAAAAATCCCTTGGGGGCTGGAGAGATAGCACAGAGGGTAGGGCGGTTGCCTTGCACGCAGCCGACCCGGGTTCGATTCCCAGCATCCCATATGGTACTCTGAGCACCGCCAGGAGTAACTCCTGAGTGCTGAGCCAGGAGTAACCCCTGTGCATAGCCGGGTGTGACCCAAAAAGAAAAAAAATAGAGAAAAAAATTCCAATACAGCTCCTTGGAATTTAGAGACCACACGAGTTCCTCTTTATAATAATGAAGAATCAGAATCTCAGATGCCTATTTGCCAAGTCGCCAATGCCGAGGAAATCCAGATTCTCTTTGCTGACTTCTTTCTACCCACCTCCTCAAGCCCTTATCACCCCCAGGAGAATCAGATTAGGAGAGGGGCTGTGTTCCAAGGTCAGTGCTACAGAGGAAGCTACATTGGTGGAAGGATTCCTCCCTCCCTTCCCTAATGCAGGCTCACCACCTGTTTGTTCTTCCAGAAAGAGTGTGAACTGTTTCCCTGCTTTCTCCTGATCTCAAAAATGCCAATTAAATTGAGCATCAAGCCTGGAAGAGGCAGGAATGTGCAGTGGTCAGGGGCCGACGTGACGGGACAGGCTGAGCTGACCCGCTCCTCTCACCATCCGGGAGAGGTTTCCAGCATTTCTGAGCCACGCTGTTGTGTTGTTGTTGTTTCGGGGCACCCACTGGTGCTCCCAGGAGGCTCTAAGGAGCAAATCGGGGTTGGGACTCATGCGTTCAAGGTCGGTTCTTCTCTGCTTTGAGCCTTCTCTCTGGTGCCACCTAATTTTCTTATTTAAAAAAATTAGAACAGGACTTCTGTGTGATAGCACAGCTGACACACCTTCCCACCCCCCCCCTCCTACCACCCCAAGCCTGCCACTTTGACAGGCAATGTTTTGAAGTTTGGTTGTTGTAGTTTGGATTTCATGCTTTCAGTGTTTCGACTCTGTGGGTTGGAGATATAGCCATACCAATCCTCCACCTGTTTTTGCTTTTGATGTACAAAGTTACTGGATTTCCTCACCACCAAAGTGGTGATTGACTAAGTGTAAGTAAGAAAACATCAATATTCTTAAGGATTCACTAGCTGGATGTTAATGCCATTCACTAAAATAGGGATCAGGGAGAAAATAGAATGGGGGGTAAATCAAGGTGCAGTTTGGCTGACTTCTGTTGCAAGGTCCATGACATTCCCAAACGGAAGACAAGGAATGGGATGGAATATTTTTGTTTTCCAAACAATTGGAGGAAACCAAATTTATATTACAAACATGTAAGTGGAAAATCATGCCAATAATTCACAGACGAGATAAAGAGGGAGATAGAACCATAGCCAAGGAAGAACGTGAAACATCTGTTTGTGTGAAGAAGTAACAATGTGAACTTGAGACTGAATGGGATATGGAAGAGTGTTGGGAAGAAAAGTGTGAGAATTGAAGTAACACGCTTATGGAAAAGAGAACCTTGGCTATATGATGGAAGTTTTCAGTTACCTGTTTCCCTAAAACGACATATTTCTATCTCCTTGTCTACAGGAATCCTAGCCACAATGGCGTCTGGATACAACAGCTATCTCTTGACCAACCTTGGTAAGAAGTGCCAGACTACCCCCAGACCAGGCTGGAGGGTGGAGGATTGGCAGGTGCTTCTGTCTTTCCATCCACTCCCCACCTGAACAAGAGATAAGTACTTCCAGCCCAATCTCCTTTCCTCCTCCTGGACCTGCCCTTAATCCCCTCATTCCTCTGTGCTTTCTCCTCCTAATGGACGGTACCTGCTGAGAGAACAAGCAGTTACACATCCTGATTGATCTTGCATGGATGTGGTTTCTTATATCCTAGTTACTAGGATGTAACTGTCCCAGAACAGCCGGTCAGCTCTTCTGGTTGTTGTCCTGTTCTTTCTTCAGCCTGTAGGAAGACTGGGAAGGAAAGATCTTGGAGTAATGAGATCCTCATGCAGACCCCTAATTTCCCTGCTCCTGGAGGGAGGCTTCACTAGAACAAATTCAACAGAATGACTAGCTCTGAAACTTAACAACAGATTAACACACAAAGAACATCCAGACATTCACTATAACAGTTGAGAGTTTGCTGGCGTATCAAATCACCACTTAATATGGCTTAAAACATGAAGTGCTAGTCAGCCATCTTCTCGTGGGTGCTGGTCTATGCTAGTGTCTGCAACATCTAGGTTGGTCTCAGATTCACTCATTCATCTATGGCTAAGTCACGTTTCATTATGAATCTGATGAACTTTCATAGCCTCATGGTATAAATGTTAGTGGCCTCTGGAGCAGCCCAGGGGGTGCCTGCCTGGGCTTCATGTCCCTCATCTTATCCTGAGCCAGGCTAGGCCTTATCATGGGGCAGTTTCAGGGTGTTGAAGAGCGGAAGGAGAAGGTGATGTACATAGAACTGCTGGAGCCTCTACTTCTCTGGGTTAATAACCCCAATACAAATCACTCAGTCCATATTCTAGGGCTAGACCTCTGGATAAGAGGAGCTGAGAATCTGGGTCCCAAAGGACCTGAGTGCACACTGGGAGAAACTGAGGCTGCATTTGCAGCCGACCTCTCAGATGGTCACTCAATGCCCGGGACATCTGAGCATGCTGCTGTTGGGAGAATGATGCTGGAATCTTTGTGCCTCTCCTCCCACGATGTTCCCAACTGCCCCTTCTGTGGCAGCCATTGTTCTCAGAATAGCCTGGGGGGAGGAGCTGTCATGTACCCATTACCTCAGTAACCTGGCCCAGAATGTCTCCATTATTCTAATCTCTTGGAAAATTTTCTTTTCCTCTCAGAACTCTGGTTCTCAAATGTGAGACACTTTAATTTTGGAACAGTTCTGCTTGTCTCTGGCTTAGCAAATGTGCCAGTGTAAAGTGTGTAGAAAGTGGGTATTGAGCGCGCATTCAGTGGGACAAACTGGCGAGTTCCTAAGCATCTCTCTTCTGATTTATGTGTTGAAAAGATGATTCCAGGGATGTAAAGATAGTACAGGATTTAAGGCACTTGCCTTATATCTAGTCAACTCTGGTTCGATCCCTAGAACCACATATGTTCTCCTGGGTACCTCCATGGCACACTCAGAGCAATGAGAAGCTCTCAAATGCTACTGGACACTTGCCTAAAAAAATCTTGAAGGCTGGGAACTGGAGAGACAGTATAGCGGGCAAGGCACTTGAGTTGCAGTTCTCTGGCTGATCTGGCTTCAATCCATATCACTCCAAATGGTCCCCCAAGCCCTGTCAGGAATGATTCCTGAGCACAGAACCAGGTGTAAGCTTTCAGCAGTCAGGTGTGGTTCCTTGGCCAATATTTTTTCTTTTAATCCCAAATGCTTCAATTTATAGATGTTGATGCAAAATTTATGCAAAAATGCATAAATCTACTAAATACTAAACTGCATATATTTGATTAGAGCTATAACTTAAGGTACTTGAGGTAGTTATCTTGAAATCAGATTCTATTTGGTATGCTGTGCTACCAAACATTAATTTTCAACTCTTCTTGGAAATACAATATAAATAGAAAACTATAGAATATATATATAAACATATATAAAACTCTTTTACACAGGATTTTTCCTGTATGAAAATTTTCACTTATTATATTTCAAAGCTTTTATTATATTTTCTCTTTATAATTCTTGAAATTATTAGTTTAAAATCTTAAAAAGTCATGCATGTGGATTGATTATCTCTAGTATTGCCTCTTGTTGATTTACTATAGACACATATTTATCTTTTATTTTGTGTTGTTTGGGTGCTGTGCTCAAGACTAACTCCCTATTCTGCACTCAAGGATCACTGCTGTAGAGTGTTGGGGTATTATGTATAATGATGGGGATTGACCCTGGGTCACCTGCATGCCAGAAAGCACCTTACCCACTGTACTGTCTCTCCATCCCTGACATCATTAATTTCAGATGAAAGATGTTTTGTTTTCTTGTTAGTCAGAGTCCCTACAGGATGGAAGCCCATGGTAACTACACAGGGAAACTTGTCTCTGCATGTGGTTCTCTTGCTGTTCTTCAAGGCTGGGTGTTTTACACAGAACACCAGTCTGGTTCCTCAACAAAAGAACAAAAGATCTACTTTCAAGGGAATTTTTTTTTCTTTTTTGGGTCACACCTGGCGATGTACAGGGGTTACTCCTGTCTCTGCACTCAGGAATTACCCCTGACAGTGCTCAGGGGACCATATGGGATACTGGGAATTGAACCCAGTTCGGCCACATGCAAGGAAAATGCTCTATTCCCTGTGCTATTGCTCCAGCCCTGGGAAATGTTTTTTGGGGGAAAATGTCCTCTAATATATCCTGAAGTCAGATTTGGTGGTATTTCCTGTTACTATCTTAGGAGGGTTTACAGCCCATTTATCTTCTAAAATCATTACTTTATTCTCAGTGTCGACTTGACTTCAAATAGAATAAGAAGTTCAAGGAATCCTAAAAAGTAGTTGTGGTTCCCTAAATATTGAATGAGGGACACCACGCTTTCCACAGAGTTTCTCTGAGAGCAGCGGGCACTCCTGGAGAGGCGCCTGGTGGACAGAGGGAAGGGCACCAGCAGGCAGGCTTTCTGCAGTAGAAATTGTTGGAAGCTATCCTAACCCTGTGGTTATTGTTTCCTCATGTCCCAGAAACTGAAAGCCAAGGCCCCAGAGATTCACAAATGAGACTTGTCTTACTGGGTAAGACTGGATCAGGAAAAAGTGCAACTGGGAACAGCATTCTGGGAAGGACTGAGTTTTGTTCTAGCCTTTCAGCTAAGTCCGTCACCAAGACCTGTGAGAAAGGAAGTTTCAGGTGGAATGAGAGAGAACTAGTTGTCGTGGACACTCCAGGCATCTTTGACACCGAGGTGCCCGATGAGAACACCAGGAAGGAGATTGCCCGTTGCCTCCTCTTGACTTCCCCGGGCCCTCACGCCCTGCTTCTGGTGGTCCCACTGGGACGTTACACCGAAGAAGAGCATAAGGCCACAGAGAAGATGCTGGAAATGTTTGGAGAGAGAGCTAGAAAGTACATGGTTCTCCTCTTCAGTCGGAAGGATGACTTGGATGACCTAGAGTTTCAGGAGTACTTAGGGGAAGCTCCTAAAGTCCTTCTAGACCTGATGAGCAAGTTTGGTAATCGTTACTGTCTGTTCAATAACAGAGCAAAAGGAGCTGAGCAAGAAGCCCAGAGGGCACAGCTGGTGGCCCTGGTCGATCGGGTGGTGATGGAGAATGGAGGAACATGCTACACTAATGAGATGTACCAAAAGGCTGAGCAGGAGATTCAGAAACAAGTCCGACTAAAACAGCAACGTTACAGAGCAGAATTTGAGCGAGAGAAAGCTGAGATAATAGAGAAGTATGAAGAAAGAATCAGAACATTGGAAGATAAACTAGAGCAGCGGGAGAAACAGGCTGAAATGGAGAGGAAATTGGAAGAAAAGAAGCTATTTTATGAATCAAAGCAAAAAAATGCCAGACATGAATTTGAGAGTCAGAATCTGATGGACATTCTTGAACAAATCATGAAGGCACTGAAAACTGTCTCCTCATTTTTCAAAGATTTTTTTAAGGATAAGTAAATGTATTCAAAGCTATCTCTGTTTCCTGTGTATCTTCTGGCTACTCTGCTCCATAGAAGTCATTCACCAAAGAAAGAGTGTTTCTCCTTTCCTTTACGGTCTCACATATAAGGGGAAAGTCCAGTAGACAGGACAATTAGCAAGTGTTTGGTATATTCAGAAGTGTCTCAACAATAATCACTTTTCTTGGGAAACCCTTGCCCCCCAAACTGCGTTATTCCTCACCAGGATTACTCTTTCCCGGGGTGGGAGTGTGATGAGCTTACCTGCAAAATTCTGTCCTCACAGAGGGGGAATTGTGTTGATTGCTGTTATTAAAATAAAAGTATTGTTCTTTCACAGTGGTGCAAAATTAGAATGTTTTCTCAGAAAATACTATTTCTACTTCTAAGTACACAAGGATAAGTTTCTTTTTGACAGAAGTTCCACTACTTCTAAGAACACAAGGATAAGTTTTTTGTGTGTATTTTTTTGCCAGAAGTTTTAGAACTTTGGAGCTAGATCACAGCTCTCCACGCTCGGACTCTTGTTGTGGAGCTTTGAGTCATGTTATTAACCCCTCTGTTGCTGGAGGTCATATTTTCCTTAGAGTCATTGATTAGTTTTAGTGGAAATTACATTCCTTACAATATATGAATAACAAAAGTTAAATTCACTACTCCTTTTGTAGATTTCTACTGGTACTCCTTATCTAGTAATTCCTAGGACCCACCGCCAAAGTCTGCCTCCATATTCTATCACAATCTCCCATCATTTTATGTGCTTTATGAATTTATGTGAAATTATCTTTGCTCTCCCATCTTTAAATTTACTTCTTTATCCCAGAAATATTTTGGTCTAGGAAGGACATATATTTCTCCCCTGTTTTCCCTAAACATAAATGAGTCTACACTATATATTTAATAAAATATATCAAAGGTTCCAGGATAAGCTAAACCTCACACAAAAAGCACCACAAGAAGCACACATTTCATCATCGGCACCATCCAGATCGCAAGTCCTTCTCTCCCAGGAGGGAGCATAACATAACACTCGCCATAACCATGCCACTGGACCCCATGTCAGGCTGTTTCACTCGGGGTTCCCTGGAGTGGATGAGGCCCCTCTGTGTCCCAAGGGACCCAGCCCCAGAAACTGAAAACTTCCAGAACCCAACCACCACCATGCTCGTGACCATTCTCCACATGCTCGGCCTGAGCCTCATCCATGAGTGAATCTATTCCTGGACTGTGCGGCCACATTCGTGACCATACCTCAAACCACACACCCTACTCGTACTCCAAGATTACGGTACCAAATTTGATGTGTTCAAAGTAGGAGGTAACCAGTTTTAGAGGGAAAATATACATTTTATTTTTACAGATACATATATAAAAAGCACATAAGGCTCAACCTTTAACAACTTGTTTGTGAACTCTTATAGAAGGGCTTAATGGCCCCTGGGTGAAATACAACAATCTTCACACTCTTTCCTCTAAGGAAACTTTATTGTAGCATTTTCCGAGGTTTTTCATAACAAACAACACAAAATATATTATTTTGGTTCTGCTTTGGGTCAGGGATTGGAGTTCGGGATCGAAACACCCAAAATATGGTGGTGGGAAGGTGTAATGGTGGTGGGATTGGTGTTTGAATATTAAAGGTAATCAAATATTGTGAACTACTTTATAAAATAAATATATATTAATAAGTACACATTTCTCAGTCCCAAGAACTCAGCCTGAGACAGAGGGTTTCACTCTGAAGAATGCAAGAGTAATTTATATCTAATGTTACTCACTTTGAAGTTGGAGTCGGACATGAGAATTTAACTTCTGACTGAAGCAATAGTACTGCAGGTAAGGTGATTGCCTTGCATGCAGACGGCCCAGGTTTGATTCTTGGTACCCATAGACCCCCTGAGTCCACAGGAGTAATACCTGGGCAGCCCACATTCCTGATTATTGGGTCACATTTGCCTTCTCCAAACAGACACACCCTCTCAGTGGGATTTCCCCAACACCCCAACCTGGGAAACTCAGAGTCCCCACTGACCTGCTGAAGAGTCTCTCCTCTGAGGCAGCAAGATGTGGGGGTGCTCCATGGAGAAGCTTCCAGAAAGTTCAGACAATGTGCCCCTGTGGAGAGTCAATAGAGTCTAGTGTCTGAGCACTGGAGGAAGAGCAGCACACACGAGTTTTTTTACATGATCCTCTTACTGTGGGCAATAAAGCTGCAACATGTGGAAGTGGCCATCAACCCAGTTCCCAGTGCCACATCCACCATCTCCCAGTGCTCAGTGCCACCTCCACCATCTCCCTGGGGGCTCAGTGCCACCCCCATCTACCCACTGCTCAGTGCCGCCTCCATCTACTCAATGTTCAGTGCACATCTGCCATCTCCCCGTGCTCAGTACCACTTCTACCATTTCCCAAGTGCTCAGTGCCACCTCCACCTCCCCATGCTCAGTGCCATGTCTGCCATCTCCTTGGTGCCCAGTGCTGCCTCTGCCATCTCCCTCATTTCTGAGTGCCCAGTTCAGCAGAGCCAAGCAAGTGCCCATGTTGGTGTGCGAGTTTCCAGTTCTTTCCATCCTTTCCATCCCCAACACTGGCCCGTCTTCCCTCCTGCCTGCCCACCGCTCACCCCCCATCCTGGACACCCCTTTTCCACCTTCTTTATCTGCTCTGTGGTGACTTCAGGTACTTTTCTCGAGCCTGATCACACCGGTCGCTGTGGGACCCCGTGGGTTAGTGTCCATGGGTCCCTCCTGTGAGACACTAGTCCCCAGGTGATGGTAAGGCCTGTTCTGAGAATTGGGCTCACAGCACTATGCAGGCTTGTCCTTGAAGTGGCCGAGGAGGGGCTGAGGCTCATCCAGACCCTTCCTGGGGACAGGGCTATAGGGGAACCCCTCCCCCCGCAGCAGGCCCTGAGGTGCTGTTCTGTCCTGTTGTTCTGTCCTTCCTCTAGATGTCTCTGCCTGTCCAGCCTCCATCAGAAGCAACAGCTCCTGACCAGGCTAGTGCTGCCACCCAAGGCAGGGCCCAGGCTACAAACGTCCCCAGGGGAGGGAAACAGGTGGGCAAAGGGGATAACCACCCCACCTACCCGCCAAGGGCAGGTCACAGCAAACCCTCCAGTCCCAGTGCTGATGGACCCTCCAGCCGGGCCCAAGTCCCCCAGAGGCACCGCTCAGGGGTGACGGTCAGTTCAACGGCTGCCAAGGGCCCAGGGGCGATCCTTCCCTAAACTGAGTTATGACCTTACACCACTTCAGAAAAGCCCCTGTTCTTCCGCTGGAAGGACCGACTTTGGAAGCTAAGGTACCACTTCAGTATGTCCTTAGGAGCCCGATAAGGTGATCCTCTGCAGAGAGATCTCATCTTTAGCAGAACCTCTTTCGGTGGAAAAGTCCGCTCGGTTCCGGGCCGGGCCGTGGGAGGAAGCACGGGACATTCCTGGTCACTGGTGGCGTCCAGTCCCCTTATCCCGCTGCCCACTGCCCCGGGCCCCCACGTCCAGGCTCTGCCTGTGCGGGTCACAGGCCTTCCGGGTCCATCAAGCCGAACCCAGCGTAGCCCACGGGAGGGAGTGGGGAAGAACCCAGCATCTGCCGGGGCTCACACCTGCCGAGCTCGGCCCTGAGTGGTCAGTGCGGCAGGCGCTGTACAGCAGGGCCGCAGCCCGGACACTCTGCGAATCCTACAGGCCGGATGTGATTCCAGCAGACCTGCCACTGCCCTTCCCCAGGCAGGGCTGGCCAGGACGTTGCGGTCACAAGTTCACTTGCACAGAAAGGCCGCACCCCAAGGTTACTGCCCGCCCAGGGTCCCCCCAGAGGAAGACTAACGAAGGCCACTGCATGTGGTGCAGGGAGTGACCCCATAGACACGGGGTCAGGGAGAGGCAGTGACTAGAAGTAAGGACAGGGCTGACCCAGGCCCCTGAACAGCGGGGAGAACGGGTGTGTGCGGGACCCAGGAGACAGGACGAAGACAGTCTATAGATGAAAAACAAAACAAAACTGAACAGTGAGGGTATTTTTAGAACAACGAACTCTACAGTGAAGTTAAATGGGAAGGGAGAAGGCTCTGTGAATAAAGCTAACAGCTGAGACACGTGTGCTCATTAGGTTTGTGTTCATGTTTCACTGTGGCCTCCTTTCCCTGAGTATGCAGAGGAGGTTGGCTTCAACAGCAATGATTGGAAAATAGATCCCTGCAAGAATGCAGACTTGGGGCTGGAGCAATAGCACAGCAGATAGGGCATTAGCCTTGCACATGGCCAACCCGGGTTTGATTCCTGGCATCACCTATAGTCCCTCAAGCACTGCCAGGAGTAATTCCTGGGTGCATGAGCCAGGAGTAACCCCTGTGCATCGCCCGATGTGACCCCCCTCCCCAAAAAAAGAAATGCAGACTCTAGGTCCTCTCTATGGAGTCTTCGGGAGGAAATGGTTTTCACTGACCCTGAAAAAACTTACCAACTGCAACGGGAACTGAAGCAGGATTGCTCCAGGCATCTCAATCTCAACCTGCGCAGTAATGCTCTTTTTCCCAGTTTCTAGTTCCACTGGACCCAGATGGTGTGTTCAGTGTTGTTGAGAATGTACCAGATTTGAAATAGGTTATTAGTGGCATTAACATATGCCACTTTCTTCCTGCATTAATATATGCCTCAGAGACCTGGGCCCTACGCAAACAAGATGAGAACGCCATTCAGGTCTCCCAAAGAAGAATAGAAAGAGCTATGCTTGGAATATCACGTTTCACTCAAATGAGAGAACGAATCCGGAGTTCTGACATCCGTCGACGATCAAGGATCAGGGATGCTGTCTCATTTGCCAAGGTGTCGAAAATCAGATGGGCTGGTCATGTAATGAGATTTAAAGACGACCGTTGGACTAGAGCTGTTACTGATTGGCTTCCACGGGATGTCAAGAGACCGCGTGGCCGCCCACCTACCAGATGGTCAGACTTCTTCGTCAAGATCATGAACGATCGGTTTGAGGCCCTTCATGTTCCCGGAGCGAACAGATGCCATTGGGCTACACTAGCACGCGACAGGGACAAATGGAGACGTTACTGGCGCCTGCTCGAGCAAATCGACGACTAACGGGAAGTTAAGTTAAGTGATTAAGTGATTAGTGGCATAATCGAGTCAAGATAAAGTGCTCAAGGCAGGCTGTAATTGGAACACTGGTATCAATATAAAATAAGAGATATCTAGACATAGATCCACAATTTGAACACCCTGTGACAAATAGGCTATGTCTACAAGCCAAAGAATGTTCAGTCTCCAGGATGTAAAGAGAAGAGATAAAGGAGCCTCCCCTAGGGAATTGTTTTATCCTAAAAAGCAA